ACCACTGAGCAGTTATTTTTTTGGCCAAACCACTGAGATATTTTGCTAACACAGGGGAAGAGTGTATTCTCATCCATCATTGGTAATTTTTTTTTAATCGACCCAGCGCCACCCGAAAGCCATGAGTTTTCCAGAAGTTCTGGACCACATTGGTGGCATGGGACGCTTTCAAGTCATGCATGTGGCATTCCTGGCCATCCCGCTCTTGATGCTGGCCAGCCATAACCTCCTGCAGAACTTCACTGCTGGGGTCCCAGAGCATCACTGTCAAGTGAGCATCATGGCCAACTACATCCATCATGCCAATCTCACAGCCAGCCTACCTGGTGAAGATCTGCTCTGGGTCTCCATTCCCATGGACAGGAGCCAGAAGCCGGAGAAGTGCCAGCGGTTTGTCACCACCCAGTGGCAGCTCCTAAACCCAAATGCCACAAGCACCAACACCATAGAGCTGGATACTGAGCCGTGTGTAGATGGGTGGACCTATGATAAGAGCCTGTTCACTGACACCATTATAACTGAGGTGAGAGAAACCTGACTCTCTATTGTCCAGGCAATGCTGTCATAGGGAGGCAGTGTGGCTCAGTGCCTAGGGTACTGGGCTGAGAGAGGAGGAGACCCAGGTTTTATTCCCAACTCTGCTACTGATCTGCTGTGGGCAAATCTCTTCCTCTCTGTTTCCTCTCCCGTCCTTTGTCTATTTAGAATGTAAGCTCTTTGGGACTGTCTCTGACTATGTGGGTGTAGCACACTGGGGCCCTGATCTCGGTCGGGGTCTGTGCAGCGCCTGGCACAATGGAGTCCTGAACTCAGTTGGGGTCTGGGCAGCACCTCGCACAATGGGACTCCAGATTGCCTTTGGGATCGATATGTGCTATGCTAATACAACACAATAGCTTGTAGACTGTTATGTTGCACTAGGCTCTATATACACACACACTGAGAGACAGTCCCTCCACCAAATCTCTTACTGTTGTGATCTGGCAGACTATTTTTCCCCCTTGGCACAGGTATAACTGACCACACAAGGTAGTAGGATTGCCACCTCTCAGGTATAAAAAAATGGGACATCCAAGATGATCTTGAGCCCATAAAACCGGCAGGGTGCACTGAGTACCCTGACAGATTTCCCAGGGCAGCTACCTCAAAAAAGGGATGACCCTGGGAAAACCTGGATGGGTGGCAACTCTACAAGGTACAGAGCAAGGGGACCACACCCGCTGTTCGTACTGTAACAGGTTTGCTGACTGACCAGTATAGCTCTCCCGATCCCCCCATACACACACTTGACCCTAGGGGTTCTCTGTACACCAATTTTACTCGTGGGTGTCCACTTCAGAGCCTGATTTTTGGGGCTCAGATTTTCAGTGTGGGGGGTGTGAATAGCCCCTTGATAACCCAGCCCTGTAAAAATGCTCCACTCCCAGCTCCCCAGCATAGGGGGTGTGGCCTGATTGCACTGAGCTCTGCTTCCCTGGGGCATCAGGAGGAAGAGTGGAAGTCGGAGCAGCTCCGAGGCCACTCTACACATACCCCAGGGTTAAGTAGGGTCCAGAAACGGGGAGCACAAGTGTGGGTTAAAGCCACCTCTTCCCATCTCTGTGTCTGCCTGGAGCAAAATATCGAGACCCGGGGATCAAAGTATCCTCTCTACAGACCAGGCTACAGCATGTCCAACCTCCCCTCCCCGCCACCCATAGGCACTTCCAAAAAGTTCCAGCTCAGGCAATGTGTGCCCTGAAATCTTCCTGCTCTCACTGGTCTCTGTTTTCTTCCCCCCATGCAGTGGGATTTGGTGTGTGAGTCTAGGACACTCCAGCAAATGGCGCAGTCGCTCTACATGTGCTGGTGGGGTCAGCTGTGTTTGGACATTAATTTATTAATTTGCATATTAATTCAAGTTCAGCAGTCTCTCTTTGGAGTCTGTTTTTGAAGTTTTTTTGTTGCAAAATTGCCACCTTTAAGTCTGTCACTGAGTGGTTAGAGAGGTTGAAGTGTTCTCCCATTGGTTTTTGAATGTTATGATTCCTGATGTCAGATTTGTGTCCATTTATTCTTTTGCATAGAGACTGTCCGGTTTGGCCAATGTATTTGGCAGAGGGGCATTGCTGGCACATGATGGCATATATCACGTTGGTAGAGGTGCAGGTGAACGAGCCCCTGATGGTATGGCTGATGTGATTAGGTCCTATGATGGTGTCACTTGAATAGATATGCGGACAGAGTTGGCATCGGGCTTTGTTGCAAGGATAGGTTCCTGGGTTAGTGTTTATGTTGTATGGTGTGCGGTTGCTGGTGAGTATTTGCTTCAGGTTGCGGGGCTGTCTGTAAGTGAGGACTGGTCTGTCTCCCAAGATCTGTGAGAGTGAGGGATCATCTTTCTGGATAGGTTGTAGATCTTTGATGATGCACTGGAGAGACTGCTGAACTTGAATTAATATGCAAATTAGATACAATTAACTTAGGTTTGAACAGAGATTGGGAATGGTTGGGTCAATACACTAATTGAATCTATTTCCCCATGTTAAGTATCCTCACACCTTCTATGGGTCATCTCGATTATCACTTCAAAGGGTTTTTTTGTTTTTTTTCTCCTCCTGCTGATGATAGCTCATCTCCATTGATTGGCCTCTTACTGTTGGTATGGCTACTTCCACCTTTTCATGTTCTCTATATGTATAAATATCATCTTTCTGTGTGTTCCATTCTATGCATCCGATGAAGTGGGCTGTAGCCCACAAAAGCTTATGCTCAAATAAATTTGTTAGTCTCTAAGGTGCCACAAGTACTCCTGTTCTTTTTGCGGATACAGACTAACACAGCTGCTACTCTGAAACTGGTTAAAGTTGAGGAGCGTAACAGAGCTCGGGGAGGGGAGGCCAGGGCTGGAACAGCAGGAGGGCTGCAGTTCGGGCTTGAGGGGCATCTGCAGAAGTGTACTGGGATAACGTCATGCATTCAAATTAATTCCTAACCCTGAATTTTGGTTCAAGCACTCTCCATTGCAAACAGTGCTTAGAGGCAGCTGAGATCACCAAAGTAGGAGAAATGGGTGCAATATAGTGCAATCATATCAGCCTCCAAATTCTCTGCCCTGGACCAGCTTCCTGATCTCCCCACCCCCCCATTAACTCTGTTCTCTGTGCTGCAGGTTTGGCCGGAAAGCCCTTCTGATCTGGTGCTACCTGCAAATGGCGGTAACAGGCATCTGTGCTGCTTTCTCCCCTAACTTCACCACGTACTGCGTCTTCCGCTTCCTCACCGGCCTGGCCATTTCCGGCATCTCGGTCAATTCCGTCTCACTGTGTAAGTAGGCGCTTCAGGTCTGAATGATCCCAGCAGACTAAGGAGCAGAGGCAAGTTACTCTCCAGTCAATCTTATAAAGGTGCCTCTGATAGCACCGGACACCTGGTGTCTGCTCCTAGGAGAACCCGGACAGAACAAAATTCACCTTGTGTACTGGGCCCAGCAGAAGCGTATGCGCCAGTTTTGTTGGGTCAGTTGAAACATTTTGTTTATCTTTCAACCATTTTGTATTTTCCAAACATTTTTCTGTAATTAGCTCAAATTTCTAAACAAAAAGTCATTTTACACTGAAAACCTGAAATTTGTCATCTCCAATTTTTCATCTTCAAATCTTTTTTCTTAAAATGTTTTAGAGTCAAGACATTTGTCAAATACGACCCTTTCCTGCAGAACATTTCCTGAAAAACCTTTTGTTAAAATTTTTCAGATCAATGCTAATTACAACCCTCCCTTTGGTCTGTCTTGTCTATTTAGACTGTCAGTGCTTTGGGACAGGAATGGCTCGCACTATGGGGTTGTACAATCCCTGGCACAATGGGCCCCAATCTCAGCTGGGTATATCCAGGTGGTATTTTAAGAATAGTGACGACTCAGGACTAGGGTGACCAGATGTCCCAATTTTATAGGCACAATTTTGGGCTCTTTTTTTTTATACAGGGTCCTACTACCCCACACCCCTGCCCCGATTTTTCACATTTGGTGTC